ATATTTTAGGGGATTATAAGGTTAAGAGTAAACCTCTAAACTTAAGAAGCAGTTACATCTTCAATGTGGTCACAAAGATAGACGAGGTGGGAGTACCATCACACACTCAGGCGCCCAAGTTAGTGATCATCAAAGATGGGGTATAAAGTTATAAAGGGATTTTTTATGTGTGCATCATTTGATATTATGTAGCCCTTCTCTATAGGGATTCTCCTAGGGTTTCTTACCATTCGATCTTTCTCTGTACCCTTAATTTTTCCAAATGGTGAGATATATTTTGTTATGCTATAACACTCTTTATTTATCACCCTCATCTGTTTGGATTGTAATATTCCTTTAGGGGTGGGCTTAACCTACCTATTGGGTCCTAGAACCTTCGATTGAATGACAAAGATATATATTTCCTAATGTCACTATAATGACGTAACCTGATGGCACAAATATCTTTATTCTAGACCTTGTGATTTTGTAGATCATTGTTTTCCACTGGTTCATCATCTAAAGCTGATATCATATATTATCTTTATTTGTCATGCTATTTCTTGGGATTTGACCGGGTATGAACAACTTCCCCCAAACCTATTTTGGTGTGATTGAAGTGAGGCTTTTTTTTTTCTGTCGTGACTCTAGACTGTACAACCTATTTTGGTTCCTCCTTTTCAAAGAACGAGCTCTCTCTCATGACCTTTAACAAGTTCCTTTTTTCACATTGTTTTTTTATTTAACAAAGTTGTTTCACAATCATTTTCTAGTATATGTAGGGGTGAGGCTTTCCACTCTCTAAATACTAGACTTTAATCATTCCATTGTTAGAAAATATAGTCATTTACTAATCCTTTTAATACATATCCCTCCAGGTGACTCTTTGGGTTGGATGTTCCTCAAAGTTTCAGTGGTTATTCCTTGAAATTCGTAAAGGGATCCTAGAATTAATTGGCTAAGGCAAACATCTTTACCTTTATGTAGTTGGTTGGCTAGATTTATATATCTCTTCGCCACGTTTAAGGACTTATAGCAGAAAATGCACATTGACATCCTAAATGCAAGGAATGTGATGTGTTCCCCGTCCGAAACATCAACATCAGAAACATGGTAGTCTTTGATATACTTTCCAAAACTCACACGATTTGGGTCAATATTGATGGCGTGCTTGTCGCTCTCATTTGGGTCAAAAGTTTCACCAGTTGTACGAAGGCTAGTAATGGACACTACGTTGAAGAGAGTATGGGTCACCTTTCCACAGGAAAGTTGGAAGGTGTTGGCGGTGCTTTCCCAAAAGTATAGGTATGTGACCAACAAGTTCTAGAAATATGTATGACCAGTTATCGACAACTATATGAGGTCAAAGATGCCTCTTTCCTTCCAAAATTCACTTTTTTTCCTCAATCCAGTTCAGCCAGAGGATGTAATCCTCACGTTTCTTAGTGAGGGGACCTGAACGAAAGACATATAAATAGGTAGTCATGTACTCTAAGTTCAAGGGTCCTTAAATGCTAACTATGGGTTTGCTTATATGGTAAGATGAGAAAAAATCCCTAAGGCAGTAAAGTTCTACAGTAGGATCAACCATTGGGTCCATGAGTCCATGGGTATTTTCAGAGATAGAATAAGGAATGATTACCCGAGATACGCAACTTTTCTTCATAGTTGGGAGGCTCTGGAACATATTCTTTGGTTTCCGATCACGACGGCGCAGGGGAGCACGTTGGCCATTAGGAGAGGGCTTTTGGTAGCTTTGGTTTTCTTGGTTATGGAGGCCATTACTGTGAGCTTGGAAGTTCTGGTAGCTTTGAAAGGAGAAATTTTTTCAGAGTAGAAGTGTTGAAGACAATGGAGGAAAAGAGAAGGAAGTTCTATTTGTAGTGATGAAGGAAAAAAAACTCTTCATTTTTTACATTTGACAAATGGCGTGAAGTAGGTGGCACATGCCATCTTCTTAGAGGAAGGATCAAAATGATTTAATGTACCTAGCCACGTCACTCTATGAAGGAGGAGCCATGATAAATAATGTTATGGGGGTGTGGGATACACACATTTTTGAGGTGACAGTTGAGAAGAATGCCATGATGATCATGACGTCAACCCACTAGCTGAATAGTGTCTGAGAAGGTAAAAAAATGCCCATATCTCCTAGTTCGTTGAAAGAGGCCTTTTTGGGGGCAATTTGTTAGCTTAGATTTTCGACAAGGGCATAAAGCTCATCACAAATCAAAGTTAAATACATATGGACTTTAAATGACATATATGTGGTCGAGGTCTCAAGTGAAGAAAAATGGGACTTAGTATTTTTTTGGAATGTGTTGGAAACATTTCGACAATAGTGTTCTCGACAACATTGAGTGTGTTGAAGAAACAGTTATTTGGGCGCGCATATATCACGTTCAAATACAAATAACTACCTTTGAGTTCTATTCTGAAGGACACATGGAGAGAATGCAAAAGCGGAGTGCATGCAGACTTCTACGTGGCGAAGCTGAAGATGTGAATGTTGGAAGCAATTATTTCGTACTAGTATAAATAGATATTTTATTTATAGAATTTGGGGTGTTCATTTCATTACAAAATCCCCTTACACTCGAAGTATCAGTGTTTAGAGAAAAAAGTTATCACTGAGATTTCGACAAAGTTATCACAAGTATCAGTGTTTAGAGAAAAAAGTATCAGTGTTTGGGGATATTTTATTTATAGAATTTGGGGTGTTCATTTCACCACTTTTATTTCAATGCAAAGTATTTAAATTCAATTTACTATTCTTACTCAGTTACCTTCATCTTTAGTCAATTGCAATGCCCTTTTACTTTCGGTTCTTACAACATTTATCATTTTCAATTTTGTCGAAATCAACATTTTTACAACATTTTTATCACTATTTTGACCAAGTCGAAATCAGGCTTTTCTCAATTGAAAACTATAAGATAAGGTTTTAGCACTATGTCCTATATTCCCTAGTTAATTCTGCAAGTAACTTTTATTAATAGACCGTCAGTTATTTGTCAATTTTCAATGTAAACAAATTGTCTCTAAATTGTCTAGTGTGGAGCATGAAAGATCGTTGCATGAAGATTAATAACTGTCATCAAAGGAGAAGCATGCTCATAAGTGTCACTAGGTGATCTAGGTTCATTGGTTAAGCTGAAAGAGATCATAGAGCTGAGTTTGAACTAATTATCTTTGATTAAGTTGGTGATACAGGTCTACATGTACGTCTAATTAAGTTGAAAGAGATCACATAGCTAAGTTCAAACTTAATGTCTCTTATTAAATTGAAAGAGATCTCTTATCATTTTATCCAAATGCTCTTGATTAAATTAAAAAAGATTTCTTATCATTTTATCCAAATGCTCTTCACCAAAGTAATTAATTTTTATCATATAACAAAGACATATCTATATTTATTTAATTAAACAAAATTCAAATCAATTTTAAAATTTTTTTAAAAAATTGCAAATTGAAAGTTTTTCAATGTACAGAAATCAAATTGAAAAACTTAATATTAAATCTTTCGGTGAATAAAAGGCAAATTGAAAAAGTTGAAACAACATTTTACAATTTTTCTTAAACTGAAAAACTTTTATAATAAAAAATATTACATAACAGTTGGGAAAAATTGAATATTGAAAAAAATGAATATACTGACAATTAATATAATTTTATATAATAATTAAATAATTAAAAATTATTTAAAATAACTTTAAAATTTAAATATGATTACAAACTATTAATTAATTGATTGTCATGTAAAATCGACTATGTATATCATTTTTCTAAAGAAATTAATGAAAAAAAAGAGAACAAAACTAGTATTTTTTATATTTGTAGAAGGGAAGGTAAAAATGTAATAGAAATTGGAGTCGCTCTAACTCAACTCACCGGAGTTGCTCGTCGACACCGTGATTTCTAGATTCCGATCTAAGACGGAGCGATTAATAAAATCGGTATGAGTTTTTTCCGTGATTACTTTACTTTTCCTCTCTAATGTTTATCTTTATATCAAAGAAATTGAAAACTCTGAAGATTGTGTTCTTTTACAGTAATATTAATTTTTGTGTGAAGAAGATATCCATTTGAAGGGGTTTCGAAATATGGGAACTATATTTGATTTGAGATTTTCCCCATTGATTATATACCAGTATGTAGATCAATACAGTTCAATGACTCATGAATTCACATTTCCTTTTTGGATTTGTAAGCAATTGTGCTCTCTTTATTCTTTTACAATACAATTCTTATTTTCTTGGAGCTTCCCTAGGTAAGCTTTATGTTTCGATCTAGAACAGGGGTTCACAATGGCGCCGATGGTCTATCACGTGATGATTGTAGACATGTAAACACTCTGACACTCAAGTTAGTATTGGCCAAATGTGTAAACACTCTGATGCTCAAGTGAGGTTTAGGGTTAGACTAGTGTGTACCTTGAGAGGTGGCGATGTTAGGCTTATGTAGCATTGGAGATCTAGTATTGAGCTCGGGCAACCAACAGCCTAGTCCGGAACACTTTACATGTGGAAGTTTATAGCTTTGTGTTCTGTATGGCTGTAAGAATAAGCGTTGTGTATGGTTTGTTCAATTTGTTCAAGTTTTGCTATGCAACGGTTCTATAGCACCACTATAGCCTCTATTTCACAATAATTTGTACGGAATAGCGTAACCCAAATCATCAGTGTTTTGTTCTAATCTTGCTATTCAATAGCACTATACCTGCTATCTAACAACATTGGTACGAAACAATGCATTCTAATGCATTTATAATGTCTTAATATCTTTTGATTTTTGAATGATGTCTAATTATAGTTTGAAAGTTAGTCAATATAATAGAAAACAATCAGATTGGCTCAATAGTCATGTAGATATGAACACTATTTTGCTTGCAAATATCAATATCGATTTCTTTGGTAAATATGTTTTGTTTTGTTTATTGTTTCCCATAAGCTTTTGTGTTTATATCTGACTTTCACAAGTAATGCGTGTTAATTAGGATCCAAAAGCTTTAGTTAAAAGTCATGTCGGTTCCCGACGAGGAAAATTTGCCGTCGCAGTCACAGGTATGCTCTTCATTATGAGTAGACTTGTTTTAGCCAGAACTAAATAATAGATTTTGATATCAGTTTCCTGCACATTTCACTGTAAAACTATCTTGTGTTGCAGTGTTGCAAAGCATGCTTAGGTGAATTTTATCTCTCAATATACTGATAAGCGTGGTAGTTAAAATTTTGTTTTGAATGTAAATTCCCACGTTTTTGAATTGATGCTTGCCCTCAGCGATTAAGAGAATACACATAATCCTATTTTTGAAAAGTCAAAAGCTACAAGTATTTAAATTGTGCTTAAAGTTATACTTGTGTAAATCACTTAAAACACTTTAATCATGTTAATAGTGAGCTATGTTTATGAAGTTAAATTTACACTAGTATTTCAAGTGATTTAAGGTTTTCTTTATCTTACTAATGCTATTTGATATGCATATATGAGTTTCATGAATTTTGTATATCTTAATAGCGGTTCTTTCAATTTTGTGAATTTTCACAAGTGTATGTGCCTAAAATAATTATTTATGTGTCTAATTGGAAGATTAAGAGTAGTCAAATACTTATTTCTCCTATACTTTTCGATTGGGATGTTTTGCAGCTTTCATCTCACTTTTTCTGCGATCTCCTTGATTCCATTATAGTTGATGTGGCATCAGAGTGTCACAGAATAGCCAAGCTGGGGCTTGATGCTAATATGGATGAAGAAGACGAAGAATTGAAGTTGTCAGCACAAGCGAGGGCTAGACTGGCAGATCCTAGTAATAGTAACGAAGCAAATGGCAAGTATGTGGTTGACTTATTTGGACAAACTCATCCTACCGTAGCAAATGAAATATTCGAATGCATGAATTGTAACCGATCTATCGTGGCAGGGAAGTTTGCTCCTCATTTAGAAAAGTGCATGGGGAAGGTTATTCTCTTATCTTTTTAATTGAATATGGTGATCATTTTCTCATTATTGTCTACTTATTACTATGAGTTAATTATAAGATTAAGCTCTGCAATCTATGTAGTAAGACATTGTTAAAGGTCCGTGTAAATTGGTGTATACTTATTAAACTCTAACATTATGAGTCGACTAACTATGCTAATGCCCCGACAACTCAGGGTAGGAAGGCTCGTTTGAAGGTAACAAGAAGCAGCTCCGGGTCAGGCGCACAGAACCGTTATTCACGAGGCAGTTCTGCTCGTACATATTCAAATCAATCTAGCAACAATAGTAGCGTGAATCGGTCGGCAAATGGAAACCCTAGTTTAGCCGGTGACGAGCACTCAAACGGGTCATCTCAGCTATGAATTAGTATGATGTATGAAGCTTGTTTTGCTGGATAGCTCATCACTATGTGTATTTGGAATTTATATTTTTCTATCATTGGACATATAATCTACCTTTGCTATTATCTGTTTATATACAACTATCAGTAAAAAAATATATTTTCCATTGCCTATTTGGATTTTGTATTTCTCTATCATTTTGGACATATAATCTACCTTTGCTATTATCTGTTTATATACAACTATCAGTAAAAAAATATATTTTCCATTGTCAATTTCATCAAAGCTTTAGGTACCATTTATCAGTAAAACAATGTGATTAATGGGGAAAATGAATAAAAATTCCGTTGCCGGGACTTGAACCCGGATCTCTCGGGTGAGAGCCGAGTATCCTAACCAACTAGACTACAACGGATTTGTGACTAAACGTAACATAAGCGTTATTAAATATTCAAATATCTCGCCTTTACTTTTAAATTTTATTGCATTTATCATGCTAGAAGAACTATGACGCTCTAACAATAAGTAAAACATGTCCTAAAATACAAATATTTTTTAAACTATTCATTTGGTTATTGTGCAAAAGAAGACATTCATTTTCGCTTTACTTTTGAATTGTACTAATATGTAAACAGTAACATTCTTTAATTTATTTCCTGACAACGTAGCATTGATTTTTCTTTTTGGCGGAACTAATTCATTTTTAATTTAGTTATAAAGTTCTATAGAAGATTTTTATCAGACATTCTTAAGTAACGTGAACCATCAATAAAGGGATGTAATAATTAAAATAGATTATTAATAATCATTAGAAATTAAAATGATATTTTGGAGTTAAGTGGCATAATTGGGATTTTTTATTCTTAAAAGGTAAATTGGTCTTTTTTTAAGGAAATTTTTTACTAACTTTCACCTCATTCCTTCATTTTTCTGGTAACAAATTAGAATTTTGGAATGAAGTAAGAAAAAGAGAAAGAGTGCGCGTAAAAAGGGAAAGAAGAGAAGAAAGGGTTTTTTTTTTTTTTTTTATAATAATCATATATTGAATACAAATTACCACAATAATCAATAATTTAAAAAAAATTTCAAAATGGCTATGTATTCAACAGCAGGTCGTCAGACTGAATGGCGAATGGGACCAAATAAAAAATGCAAAAATGGAATTCGCCAGGTGAAATGGCGAATGAAGCCATGTTGAAACATTTTCGCCAATCAGAATGGCGAATGAGGCCAACCAGCTAGGGTTTCGCTTTTCATCTATTTTTGATTTTATATTTTGATCAGTTTTTAATAAATATAAATATTTGATTTAAATTAATATTTTTAATTTTAATTAATGTTTTATTCTACCAATTCATGTGTTTTTAAATACCTTAATTTTAATTAATTTCAATTAATAAATACTTTATTTTTAATTATTAATGTAAAATGAATTCTTATTAAATCAAATTAAAATTTGATTAGAATTTAATTTTAAATAACATTAAGAAAAAATTAAATATAGAAATGTTAAAATAAAATATAGAAATAATAAATTATATTAATTTAGAATGTAATGAAAAGTACAATTACAATCGAACAAAAGAAAAAAACTAATGACCGACTCTATCCAAGTGACCACCGGTGCCACATTGTGGGGGATGCGTGTTGCGACGAGGTCTACGACGAGGTTGCTGTGGTGTGTCCGATATCTGTGTGTTGAGTTGTGGAGGAGGGTATGGTTGGGACGGCCCCGACGTATCAGATGGAGTTTGCATCATTTGACCCCAATAGCCGGGAGGTCCACTACCAACAGCGCTTCCGTAGTTAAGCCCCATGCCCATGTTTTCGAAGGATTGTCGGGGAGGTTGGGTGGAGTATGAACGATATGGTTGTCCGAATGTGTACATGGAGTTGGGTTGGTCAAGGTGTGTTGGTTGTTGCAGGGTGTGGTAGTCGAATAATGGATAATTTGGGGGGTCGTTGGAGGGGTAGTTGGAGGTGTAGTTGGAGGGGGTAGGGTCAAATGAGTTGTCTGGGCTATAGGTGGAGGGGGTAGGCTCAAAAGAGGTATCAGGGCTGTAATGGTAAGGTGGTTGAGGCTGGGATTGGGTGGGTGGCATGTAAGGTTGTCGTTGTTGATAGGGGGTATTTGTTGGCATGTATGTGTTTTCGTAAGGCTGGTTTTGGGCACTGAACTGTTGTTGTGGGTTTGACGAAGAATCGCGTTCCCTTGGGTCGGCCAAATAGGTTGGGCTGGGACAGGAAAGGCTGAGATGTCGTGACAGACCTATAATTCAAATTGACGGAACATGGTTATACGGGAAATATAAGGGCACACTTCTCATGGCTGTGGCACAGGACGGGAACAACAACATTTTTCCAATAGTCGTCGCCATAGTAGAAGGGGAGACTGCTGGGGGTTGGAGTTTTTTCTTAAAAAACCTCCGCTCTTACATGTCTCCACAACCTAACTTATGTTTGATCTCCGATCGACACCCATCCATCGAGAGTGCATGCAACAACCATGACAACGGTTGGCAGGATCCTCCCTCGACCCACGTCTATTGCATAAGGCATATTGCCCAAAATTTCATGCGGGAAATCAAGGACAAGACGCTGCGAAAGAAGGTTGTGAACGCGGGATATGCACTAACTGAACCCACATTCAGATACTACCATGACGAGATCAGACTGAACAACACGGACACATTAAGATGGATTGATAACATTGATAGGGAGAAATGGACGCGGGCATATGACAATGGGGTGCGATGGGGCCACATGACAACTAACCTCGTAGAGTCAATGAATTCTGTTTTCAAGGGAATCTGAAACCTCCCAATAACTGCCTTGGTAAAGGCAACCTATTTTAGGCTAGGATCACTCTTTGATAGCAGATGTACGAAGTAGGGTGCGGTATTACAATCGGGCCAGCTGTACAGTGATACTTCAATGAAATTCATGAAAGAGGAAGCTGCCAAAGCCAACACACACGTGGTCACAATCTTTGACCGTACAACTGGTTGGTTCAGTGTTGCCGAGTCTATGGATCACAACGAAGAAAGGCCTAGGGGATGTTACCGTGTTGAATTGGATAAGAGCTGGTGTGATTGTGGAAAGTTTCAAGCATTCTGTATGCCGTGCTCTCATGTCATAGCAGCATGTTCAAAGTTGCGCCAGGACCCAACCAACCTTCTTTCTGCAGTTCACCAAGTCATTAGTCTATGCAATGTCTACACATGCAGCTTTCAAGTGGTGGCAAAGGAGGACTATTGGCCTCAATACAAAGGTGAAATTGTTTGGCATAATGACTTGATGCGCAGACAGAAGAAGGGTCGGCCTAACAGCACGCACATTCGAACTGAGATGGATACCGCAGACAAGCTGGTGAGATTGTGTAGTTCGTGTCGGCAACCAGGACACAGTCGTACGAAATGTCCTAACGTAGGATCAAGCAGCAGATCATAGTTTCATATGTAACTGTGTCCCGTTAAATTAATATCAAATTTCATTCGATTAATAGCGACTTTTATAAGATTAATAGAAATTTTCATTCGAATAATACCAAGTTTCAATCAATTAAAACCACAGTTAACTGACACAACAACAACATGACAACAGAACGTTGCACGAAGGCAACATAAATTAAACAAACATAACAACAACGTAAAGACGTTAAACAGAACACTGCACCAAGGCGTCTACGATATCACGACCATCAACTTTATCTTCTTTGGTGTCAACATCATCACAAGGACACCAGCATCATTTTCCACTTTTCTCCATTCACGAGTCACTCCGTTTCTCCCGTTCTCCTCGACCACCCTCTCGATTTTCCTAATCTTTTCTCCTGGACCAATATCTCCTTCTAGCTAGCGGTTCAGTTCCCTGTGCAAGTGCTCCAACGTCTGCGTATTCCAGAGGAGCACCTTCATCGGAGGCTTTGTTGGTGAAAACACAACTAGGGTATTTCTTTTCATTAGATCGAACGTTGGAAAAGGTTCCTCAGATGCTGATGACGACGACGAAGAACGTTGATTTAGAAATGCAGACATTCTGGACTCCACTCAACTCGAACTGCACTAATACTTTAGTCTTTTGGGATATAATGTTGTGAAAACATACATGTGTTTGTAGTCTTATTTATAGAAAAAAAATAGAACGTATCCTATATGATATGACTTAAATAACCCTACAACATTTACATTATTTAAACTTCAATGAACACTCAATTTTTATGTTTTAAAATTAAAAATTAATTTGAGATCAACATAAATTTATTTAATTGGGTCTAAAATCTAAACTTCAATGAACACTCAACTTTTAGATCAACATAAATTTATTTAATTAATTTGATATTATTTTTATTTAAACCTAATTATTTTAAATTTATTAATTAAAAAATTAATTTTAGCATTAAACCTAATTATTTTAAGTTTATTAATTAAGAAATTAATTTAACATTAAACCTAATTATTTTAAATTTATTATTAATAATTATATTTAAAAAATATTAATAATTTAAAATATAAAAAACATAATCATGTTAAATACATTTAAAACATTAACTGAAATTAAAAACATAATTAAAAAACAAAGGAAAACTCAAAACCCTAAAGCTTTGCATGATTCGCCAAATGGATGAGCGACAATGTTGCGGCCCATTTTGCCTTTGCCTGATTCGCCAAACTGAATGGCGAATTAGCCCAGTGTGATTTTTACCTATTTTGCCATTTCAATTGGCGAACACCTGTTGAATGTTAGCCACTTTGGTATTTTTTTTTGAAAATCTCATTTAATTGGTATTATTTTTGAAATAGTTGGTTAGTTTAAAAAAAATTCGAAGAAAGGAAACCTAGCATGCACCGAAGTCTTGAAGAATCATCAATATCAGCTTCAACTTTCATCAATTTTTGAACTCCAGATTCTTTTAAGGTGGGGTTCTAGTAGTTAGATGGACTTTTTAACTGATTCTGGAATTTAAGCATGTTTGGGGAAAACCTTGGAGTTTTCTTGAGTGATTCCTTTTTTGTGAAATG